GACACGGTTTAATCAGTGAACGTTGCTCACATTTTGCCGTGGCATGCCGAGTACGCGTAGAAAATGACGCCATCGTATGGTACACGTCAAAATTATACGACCGTAATCAATTAGCATGCGTTATGCGAAATGAATATGGCACGCTTGGTTACTTTTTTTTTTTGTTTTGACTTTACACGTAACGTTTAATAATTTTTAATGTGTTATAATTTGATTTACGTGTATTTAACGTGTATAAATTTCAAATCATTTACATTTCACGTATGTTTTCAATCATTCATTTTTTTATTCTTTAGAATCAAATTTACAAATATATCTTTTCAGTTAATTAATTAGGAATACATTTATTTCAAATTTTGCTAATTAATAATCAATAATTTAAAAAAAAAAATCAAAAAAGCTAAACGATAAGTAAATGAAATATTAGAACAGCAAAAATTTGTAAAGAAAAGAAAAAAAATATTTAAAAAAAGAAAATGAATGATTTATTTTTCTTTTTTATCATTAATAATATTTTTATAGAATTTGACATACATTTAAGATAAATTAGCATTAGAAGATTGATTATTGTTCATTTTAATTATAAACAATAAATTGCACAAATTAGAAATATCTTTTGCATGCTGTAATAATAATAATAATAAATAATTAAGTGAAATGAAATTTCATTTAATTATTTGTTTGCTTATCTTCAACAATAATAATTGTAATTATAATAATAGTAATTGTAATAATGCTTTAAAAGAAAGTTAGAAATTATTTACCTTAAGTTAAAATTTATTAGATTAAAATTTAGCAAAATGTTTTTCTTTTCTAAAAAACGAAAAAATAGAATAATACAATAACAATAATAAATATATATGTATGTATAGCTTCAAAGAAATGAAGAAATTCTTTTGAAAATTACAGCAAAAAAATAATTTGTTTACAAAAAACAATTAACAGAATAAATAAATATTTTTGTACATTAATATAAAACAAAGTAAAATATAATTATGCATAATTTGTTAAGTGAAATTCTTTTTTTTTTTTTTTTTTGTTTATTCTAACAATTAATAAATTAAAAATACTTTAAAATCAAAAAATCAATTGTTATATTTATTACTTATATAATTGTAATATTTAGCATAAATTTGTTGAACCTTAAATGATACATTTCAATTTTTTTTATCAGGAATTGAATTACTTAATGATAAAGTTATTTGTTAAAATTAAAATGAATTCAAAAAAAAAACATCATTGATCAGCTAACAATATTTTACTACTGTCCTTTGAATTCTAATTCATACTTAATTATGATAAGCATTTCTTGTAATTTATTAAATCGACAACTATACTACAACTTGTACTCATTAATAATATTATGTGTTTACAATAATATAAAAATTACAATGATTTAATGATTATAACAATGTAATCATTAAATCATCGATTATAATTGTATAAGAAAAAATTTGATTATTATGGCCTTTGCAATTATTTAATTTGTTTATTGTTTAAGTCATATTTATTTCTTTTTCTTCCTTTTTTCCTTTGTTCTAGCAATTTGATCGATTTGATGTAAATTTACAGATCGATCAGGTTGCATCAAGAAATCATCCGGAAGTGTCCGGTGTTGGTGCTATGGTCAAAGTAACTGTAACAGTCCACAAAACATGATCAAATTATACGATGCATTTAAAACGGGTGATTCGGTGTTACTTGATGAGGTCATCGATGACATCGAAACATCAGGTTGACACTAAATAATTCCTCTTCCTCTCTCTTTTTCAAATTTTAAACAAATAATAATTTTTAAAATTACAATTATTCATCTAAAAAATGAAATGAAAATTTTCCACAAAATTTGGAAATAAAATAAAATGGAAATGGAAAAAAAATAATATATTGAGTTTACAATAAATTAAATTTCTTTTTTCTTTTCATTATATTTGGATAAAATTCATTTAACACCAAATTGCTATATAAATTTATCATTTAAATTAAATTTTTCACTAAGTTTTTTTTTTTTTTTTTTTTTACTGTATTGCATGGATTTTAATCATTAAAATTATTGCAAATAGATTCGATTTTAATGCAAAATAATATTTTATCATTTATGCTAATTTAATATTTCAAATGAAAGTTTATTTTAAAATGTCATCTTTAGCTATTATAACACTAATTTATTGATCGAAAATTCTTTATGACACTAATAAAAACATTTATACTCAGTGTCCAATTTAATTTATTACTTTAATTAAAGCATTCAATTATATTCTAAAATCGTTGTAAAACAGATTTTGGACGCTTTATCTATTACTTTCCTATTACATTCCTTCTACCATTCAATTTAAATTATTTGACCAAAATTTTTAATTATTACTAAAAATTGTGGAATATTGGAAATTATTATAATTACTTTGCTATGAATAATAATAATAATAATTATTATTATTATTATTATACAGCAATTTATAATGATTATTTTACTATGAACAAATATTGTTATAAAGAATTTTACAATAATTGCCTTTTTTTTTAAAGAATAATATAATAATTTTACTTTGATTTTATTGTGATAATTCTTTTTTTTTCTTTTAAAAAAAAAAAAAAAAACTTTTGCATTCCTTTTTGTTACTAACAATTTGTTTAATTTTTTCTGTTTCGTTCAGATTTTTTTTTTTTATCAAAAATAAATTTTTTTTTTCCTTTGCGGCCGATAAGCTAACATTGCTCACACATATAGAATTTACTATCAGAAAGATATTTACATATACGAGAAATAAAATTTATATATTTAATCGTTGTAAATGAAAAAAAAAACGAAAGAATGGAATTCGTTTTTGCTTTTAATTTTTCCTTCTCCTTTAAAATAAAGTTTTAAATAATAATAATAATAATAAAAGTAATTTGTTGTATTATTTTAAAGATAAAACAAAAAATTCAATTAGTTAAATAATTATATTACATTAATAAAAAAAGATAAAAATGAATGTTAGTGCATTCATTTTTTTATAAAAATGGAAATATGGAAAAATTTAAAATTTAAATAATGCTAAATGCAAATAATTAAACTAATAAATTAAGATGTGATATTTAAAAAATTAATACTTAATAATATATATTTCATTTTTTTCTAAAAAAAAATTAGTAATATATAATTTGATTTTTAGATACCAATGATTATGAAGATGAATCCGGAATAGAAACTACTTCTATTCGAATTAGTACTGCAAAATATGTTACGGAAAATGTTAAAAATAAGCCAACATTACAAATATTTGAAAAGGATCATCGCAAAGTTGTAACAAAAGGTAATAAATAATTAGCATTTAGAAAGAAAGCTAATGAAATTAGCATTTTAAAATTATGCAATAATATTTTTTGAAAGATTGAAAAGCTGAGAATTAAAATTATTTCAATTGAAAAATTGATTTTTCATTGATATTTTTTCTTTTTTTTTTTCAATATATCAATTTCATGCATTATCCATCTATGTTTTAAATTTTATTTTAAATTTAAATATATTATTTCTTAGATTATCCCATGGCATTATCATCCATTTCGATGCAAATCGATCATACCAATCAGCAAAATGTTCACAAACATCAAAATTCTGACTCAAAAATGAGACAATCAATAAAAACAACCGAAATTTTGCCAACAATTACTGATAAATTAAATGAAACTACGGAATATTCAAATATGAAACATTCTCGAAATCAAAATGAGAGGAGAATTCGGCATAAAGAAGTTGCCGGATCAGGCGTTAAGTCATTACGTAAACTGGAAATATTACGTGATACAATTGCTTTACTTTTATTTTCATTCATAATGTTCTAAAACAATTGTTCAGAAAATAAAAATTATTAACTTTTTCACTGTGAAAATTTAATCATTCAAAAATTTTCTTTAAAAAAAAAAAAAAAACTCAAAAGAAAAAAAAATAGATTTTTATTATTATAAATTCATTTTTCAATGATTAAATTTCTTCAAGTTAGAAATTAAAATAAAAAAAGAAACATTCATTTAACTTTTTGAAGAAAAAAAAAAGTGACACTTTGTGGTGACAATGTTAGAATGTTATATTATTGTCAAAAAATTAATTCTTTCATATTTTTGAATCACAAAAAACTGAGAAAAAGATTTCATTCAAATTTTTTATTCTTTTTTTTCTTTTTATGTACAATAAATTCTTCTGTTATATTAAATTATAACCATTTTAAAATCTTTTTCTTTCTTTCTTTCTTCTTGTCTTAATGAAACGATAATTGAATTTGTATGATTGATTATATTTTTCCTTTTGAATGCTAAAAAATCAGTTTGTCATTGTTTTCTTATATATTACATTCAATATTAAACTTTTCGTTTGCATTTCAGTGCTATCAAAACAGTAACATTCATTTATTCTCGAATTCTAAGATATCCTGTAATCCCGAGATATCCTGGAAGGCTCAAATTGCACCAAGAATTTAGAGAAAGACAATAGTATTATTAAATAATATTTGAATTATTATCATTACTTCTTTGTACAATTAATTAGATTGCAATTAACAAGCAATCTTTATTAATATTTTTTTCCATTTATTTTTCAAAATCACAGCAATAAAATGCAAATTAATAATTATTTTATTCAATTTAAAGTTGAAAAAATAATTTAGCATTTAATTCTATTGCAAAAACAATTATTACTTCTAACATTTTTAAAAATAAATACATTTATTGGAGTATTTAAGTACCAATTAGATTATAAATATAATTATAATAGGAAAATTCGTTTGATCCAACCTTTGTTGTTTTTTTCTTATTCAAATAAAATTTAAAAAAGAAAAAACAAATAAACTAAGGAGCGATTATATATATATGCATATAAACACAAAAAAGACTGAAATTTTATTAAAGTTAAAAAACTTTAAAGAAATTTTAAATTTCACAAAAAAAAAAGTAAATAAACAAATAAATAAACAAAATAACAAAAGCAACGAAAGTAATTTATTTTTTTTTTTACGAAGCAATTTTTATGGTTTCAATTGTATTTCATTATTTTCCAGCATTTGTCGCATTCGATATTTTTGTATTTTCGTATTTACCCGTGGGAAGTCGTCAACAATTGCAAATTTTGCTGGAACATTTAACTGAAAAATACTCAAAATGTTATTTAATATTTGATTAAATTAGTTTCAATCATTTCTATTTCTCATTTATTTATTAAAATTCGATAGTATTATTGCTATTGCTATTATTATTTCACATTTACTATAAATTAAAGTAGAAAATATTTTTGTCACATTTTTAATTAAAATTGAAAATTTCATTCTAAAAGTTTTTTTTCTCTTTTTGCCTACTTATTGCACTCTTAAATTAAATAATTAATGATTTAGTGAAATAATGGAAAAGAAAGAAACAAATAATATTGAAAGTAAAATTAAACAAATAAACAAAGTGAGAGTAAACATTTTCCCTAATAAGTAAAATCGATTTACTATTCCGGGAGATTCCAGAAAAATACAATATTTTTAGGATAATAATAACAGTAATGAATCCAGAAAAAGGATGAATGTATGAAAGACGAAAACCGGAAAAATATCAAAAATAGGATTGGATGTGTTTACTAAGATAAAATGTCTTCTATGAAATTATCGAAATGATGCTATAATGTTATCACATTTTGATGACATTTTAGTGCAAAATATATTATTGACTTTTTAAATAACCTTTGAACTGGTGAACTTTTAAGTAAGTAATAGTGACCTTTTAAGTGATGACCTTTAGCATTTCAAAGTATTACTGCTTTAATTTTAAAAAATGAAGAATTTAATGCTTATAGTTACAGAAATGTTTTTCAAAAGCTTAAACATCATTTCATTTAATATATCAGTTTTTTAAATCTTTCTCTTGCATGTGTGTATGTGTATGTATGCATGTATGTATGTATGTATGTATGTGTGTGTGTGTGTGTATGTGTCTGTATGTATGTATGTGTGTAAGTATGTCTGTATGTAAGCATTTATATTTGTAATAAATGCTTAATGCTTAGATATTGATAAGAAAATAGCGATTACTCATCCAACTAAAATTTTTGTTTTCATCTAACGATGATAATAATATTCCCAAAGTGACTAAACAAAAAAAAAAAAAAACAGAAAAATAGGAAAAAAAATTTAAAAAAGTTTTATTAAAAAAAATTTTTTAAATCTAAAATTTAAAAATTAAATTGAAATTCTTTCACATTTATTACAATTTCATCATCTAATATTCCATTTAAAATATTAATCATAAATAAATGACAAATATTTGTTAGCATAATGATTAATTATCAAGAAGTTATGATAATATCTATTATTATTATTATTATTTGTAAGAATTATGATTATAAATAATAAAATTTATCATTCAAATTAATTAATAATTCAAATTAGACAAAGTAATTTAATAAATATTTCTATGAATTTTATTTGAAATGTAAAAAAAAATCACAAATTGATATAGTAGCAGTGGCAGTGGTATTAGTGTCATTTAGTTTGGAAAAGAAATTTAATTTTACACAAAATTTTAATGATTAAAGTGAAATGATAAGAATTCCTTATTAAATTATCAAAATAAATAATGCAAATGACTAACTATTAATAAAGTAATTCAAAAAATAAAAAAAAATAAAAATAAACAAAATTAAAATAAGCAATGAAATTAATTTTTTGCTCGATTTCCACTTTAAATTGTAAAAAATTTTTGACTAAAATTTTAGTTAATTATTAGTTAAATTAACCAATTAAATATCTTTTTTTTTTTGAAAGTTATTTTTCTTTTTCAAATTTTCATATTCCAACGAATATGAAATTCCGAATGACATGTGTGATACTTTTCTCTCACTAGTATTAATTAATTAATTAATTAATTAATAACTTTTCATTAGTGGTTAGTGTGAGAAAAAAAATTTAAGTTTTAAAATTATTCAAACAGTTACAAATGACATGGATGTAGTCAGAATGAATTTAATTATTATTTGTTGCTGCTTATAATCCTTTGGGAGTTGAAAATACTTCGAAACTGATTATTCAATTATTTATTTGCAGTTGCTGTTTGTTTGTTTATTTGTTTATTTTGTTTGCTTATCATTCTTTGGAAGTAATTGAATGGATGAATGAATGAGTGAAATGCATAGAAATGTATTATTTAATTAATTATTTGGAATGACAATGTGGAAGAAATAAAATTGGGAATTGATTATTAGAATAAAAATTATATATTCGATAACTGATAATTGCAATAAACAAATTTAAAAAAAAAACAAAAATCGCAATAAATTATTAACTAATTTTGTTGTTTTGAAATTTTTTTATATAATAACAAAATTAATAATATAATTAATAGTATTAAGCATATGCTTTGATACATATTGAAATGCAATTTATTTTAGCCTAGCAATATTTTTGTCTCATATCACTTGGCCTAAAACTTTAATTCTAAGGCAGTTATTTAGTCACTTCATACCACAACATTTCCTACCCAACCCTCATTTCCCACGGGCAATTTAAATAACTGACAGTTGCAGATGTGTCAGACAAAATAGGAAAATAGGTACACAAGATTTCATGAGATATTAAGCATTGCTGTTAAAGTAATTGCATTTTCAGTTAGTTGTGGTTAAATTTCAAATTATTATAAATTTAGGGATGTAAATTTTAAATAATAGTTAAAAATGCCAATCAAATAATTTCATACTTTAATATCCAACCTTAGTAATTCAAATTGAAATCAATAAAAGACAAATAATGCTTAAATATATTTAATTCTAAAAATAAAATTAAAAAAAAAGAGCAAATCACAGTAAAAAATTTAGTATTTGTCAAGAAGAAAACTTTTTTTTTTTTTAATTTGTGTAAAATAAAAATAAAAAAAAGGAAATTCATGCATTAATTATCAAATATAATTGATATAAATATGATAGCTTAAGCATTGTTTATTGTATTTAAGCTTTAAGTATTATTAGCAAAAAAAAAATTAAAGCTTTTTCCTTCTAGCTGAAAGCATTTGAAATCTTTTACAATTTTTTTTTGTCCATTGTTTTAGTTTTAAAAAATTTTAGAAAAAAGTTATTATTAATTAGACTAATCGATGCTTACAAAGTTACTTTCTCTCTCTCTCTCTCTTTCTCTCTCTCTCCCTCTCTCTCTCTCTCTTATATAACAACAATGGCCACAAAATTAATGGAAGAAAATAATTGATAACTGGAAAGGAACTTTTGATCATTGCTCAGCTAATGAGGTATGCATTTGCTTCAAATATTGAATGAAAGCATAATGTAATGCTAACACTAAATTTCGTTGACAAATGCAATTGGTCATTTGGTCATTTGGTCATCGCTTGCATCCTAATTACTGGCTACTATGCTTCTTCATTCTGTCCACTTTAATATTTCTGTCACATTTCAAAAACCATTGTCTAATCTATTTGTTACATAATTTTTTCAGCTATATATTATATTACTAATTTTATTATTATCAGTTTGTGCCATTTCAATGATTTATTTTGAAATTTAAAAAAGTCCAAAAAAAAGAAAAATATCTTTCATGAATAAAAAAGATATTTTAAGCTAAAATGAATTAAACAAATAGATAAATAAATAAATGAGTAGGCAAATAAATAGATGAATGAATAAATAAATAAACAAATAAATAAATAAATAAATAAATGAGTATTCATTTGCATAATAAAACAATAAGGCTAATAAAGTTCAGAAGTGCAAAAACTTCTTCACTTTAAATGCGAACTGTTAATAGTTGTAATAATTCAAATTTTGACAAAATAAAAATTTGAGAAATCAAATTTATTGGATGAATTTAATTTAATTTAATTTAATTTAACCGTAACGAACTAATATAGTGTATTGCAAGAATTTGGAAAAAAAAGAGGGAGAGAGAATGAAATAATTCGTTTCTAAAATCAATTGGAATTTAATATTTTGATTATTTATGACTTTTCGCACTTTTTCTTTCTTAGTTCAGTTCCATTTTATAGTAAAGTTTTCTCATAAAATTTAGCAGTTAATTTAATTTTTCCATTTTCCTTTTTTTTTGGTAGCAATTAAATTTATCATAAAGCAAAATTATCACAGATAATTTATGTGAAAAGAAAAAAGATAACAAACATTTGTCGAACAAATTTTTTGTCAACAAAGCAAACAAACTAGAATACAAATTTAATTTTAAAATTTTCAATAACAATAATAAATCTTATTATAATGATAATAAACAATAACAATGATGATATAATGATAATCTAACAGCTAATGAAACATAATTAGGATAGATTAATAGTGAAATGTAATTAAAGCTAGCATTTCAGATTTTAATCTAATGCCGTCACTCATAAATCGAAATTTTAAAGCTGGTTGGATTAATATTACTCTCATTTAAATGTGCAAAATTTAAAACAAAATTTTGTTACTATTATATAAATGTGAGAATTATAAGATGCATTGATAAATTGAGGGATAATTATAGTTTAAGAATTATTTATTTATTATTATTCCATAATTTCTCAACTTATTTTCTTTTAATTTCTATTTTCTCACTGTTATTTTTTTTTTTTTAAAAAAAACTTTTTTATATTAATCGTAAATTTAAAAATGCACAAATAACTTATCTTCTGCAAAAGAAAAAAAAACGCATAATTAATTAAAATTTTTAATTTATCGTAATTTGAACAGTAATTACTATAAATGTTTTTATTTATAACAAAGTATAATAAATATAAAATCTCTTCCTTTTTCCCATTATACTCGTATTAACTTTATAATTTTAAAAATTTAATTTTTTTTTTTAAGTACTAGAATTGTTATCTGATGTAGATATCTCATCTAATGCAAAAATTTTTTTTTTTCACCGTTTAAATTATGAATAATTTGTGAAACTGAAAAATAATTTTAATTCTTTTATTTTTACAGAAATATAAAATAAAAATTAAAATTCAAAATTAAAATCAAACAAACCTTATTGTTTTTGCATAAAGCAATTAAATCTGTTAGTATAATATCAGTATTAATTTGAGAATTTTTTAATACAATAAATGCATACAATGGAAGTTTCTTGCCAAGTGCAACAATCTGAAACAATTGATAAGCACTGATAAGTAAGTGATAAGTGAGATAACTCAATTTTAATTTATCACTTTTATGATAAAAAATTGATAGTTTTTCGAATTAGTAATTAATCCTATTAAATTTTATAATTAGATTATCTTTTTCCATTACAACAAACTACTTTTAGCATTAATTTCACCATTCTTTTTTCAAAAAAAAAAAAAAAATGATTTTTTAAAATTTAATTTTTTGATTCACAGAAATAATTTGAATTAAATTTAATACAAAATATGATCGATCTAATATAACATTTACAATATAAAAAGATCAGATATATTAATCCTAATTATTTGCGAGCACATACATTCATCAATATTTTAATAATCTGCAAGAATTATTCGTTTCTTAATTATTGAAATTTTTTAATTTAATTAATTTAAATCTTTTTCTTCTTTCTCTTTTTTTCGGAAAAATGTGAAATTAAACACATTGATAATTCCAATCCATCCATTTTTTCTTTAAAAAAAACATTTTTTGGGGAGAAAAATTAATTTTTATTATTTCCTATTAATTCTCAATTAAAATTACACAATTTTACTTATTACTTATATATATTCAGGTATTGATGAGAATTCCAAAAATAAACAAATTCTATTAAACGTTTATATTAATAAACAAAAAAACAAAAAAGCGACAAAAATAAATGACCTGTGCCCCTTTGACCTCATTATGAGAACATAATGCTTTTTCGAGAATCCAATGCTCGACAAGTTGACCCGAACTGTCCACAATCAAATCTTCTTTATTAGTTATGATCTCAATAATGCCATCTTCATCCTTTGTTACTATATCTCTATAATTTTTCTCTTTTTTTTTAATTTTCATTAAAATATAAAATTTGAAATCATATTAGTATTATTTAATTAAATTCTTTTTTAATTAATAAATTACTCAATTAAATTTAAACAAACTTTGTCACATACTTACCCAGTCTCAATCCATTCCAACTCTTCTTCAAACGGTGTTTCATAGCCAAGAAATTTTGATCCTTTAATAGCTTTAATGCAAAGCTCACCTGACTCATTGCTATTATTACCTTTCCAATTTGACAAAATTTCAACGTTACGAATATTTATCTGAATAATAACAATTAATACAAAAATCAATTAACAGTTCTTAAGTTTTTTTTCTTCCAAAGTTAAAAACAATTGCAAAATTTCTTTTCTTTTGACTTTAAAATTTAATTCATTAAAATTCTCCACCTATTTACTTCTTTCTTATACCTGAAATTTCTCTCAAATTTACATTATTAATGTTTTTTTTAAAGTTATATAGTCAATTAGTTATTACAAAAATTTTCAATATTGATTTCAAGAAAAAAAAGTTTGTCAAAATTTCATTATCTAATTTATTTCCAAGATCAACGGTCATCAAAAAATTGAAATCAACAAAACTTAAATTACTTATTTAAACTAAATTAGAATATTCTCAATCGATTCGCATAATTATCTAAATAAGAAAATTAAAAAAAAAAAATAAATAAAAATTAAATCAATTTAGAATGGAAACTATTTGGGTGAGTAAAAATTACTAATAAAAAAATAAACAAAAAAAAAATAATTTTTTAAATTATAAAGTTGTAAGTTCAGCAAGAAATAATTTTCGACAATTAATAACCAATTGAATTGTATCGTTTACATCTTTTCACATATTAAAAAAAATTATAATTTTTATATTTCAATCATTATGAAATCTTATAGAAATAATAACAATTTTAATCGCTCTTATCAAAAAAAAAAAGTTTTAACTAAAACTAAATTTACTTCAAATTCGTTCAATGGCTTTCCAACACCTTTAATATTTGCTGTATCCCAGGTAAGAATTGGTATTGATGCAACTTCCGTTAGTATATAACCATTCTAAAATTTAAAAATTTTCCTTCAAACTTTTCTGTTTTTTTTTTTTTGTAAAAAGCAAAAATTAAAATATTAAAGAATCCTTTTTAACTTATATAAAATATTAAAAAATTTCCAACATACCATAACTTTTTGAACATTTTCAAATTGTTTGGTGATATTTTTGATAAGATCAGATGGCACTCGTTCACCAAGCAAAATGATATTTTCAATCGATGGCAAATGAACATTTTGAATTTGTGCCACTCGTAAAATTAAGCCTAATGCAACCGCATTAGATAACAAATGAGTGCATCTGTATTAAATTATTATTAACTTTAAACTTAAAGGAAATTATTAAAGTGTAAAAAAAATGAAAGTAAAATAAAATATATAAAATAAATTATAAAAAAAAAAAATTTAATTTCGATTTGAAAAAAAATAGGGAAAAAAGAATTAATAATTTGTAATATTTATATCAAAAATATGAAAAGAAATTAGGAAAAAATTTAAAAAAAAGAAAAAATAGAATTGATAAAGAAATATATATTTAGTATGTAATATTATCAAATGTTGATGCTAAATTAAATTTATTTTTTTTTTTTGATTTTAAAATCATAAAAAATCGATATTTTAAAATTTACTGAAATTTTTTGATAGATTCAAAGAGAAATTTAGGAAGTGGTGACGGTGATGGATATATTACTTGCGTATTTGCAATGAATGGTATCAATCCGAGAAATGAAAAAATTGGCATTTTAAATAATGGCAAAGCGCAACAAATGCAATTCTAAAAATTAAAAAATATAATAAAATATTTTCAAATAAATTATAAAATAAAAAAAAAATTTTTAATAAAAAATATTTGAACAGAACAATTTTTTATAATAAATTTTAAGTATTTAAAAAAAAGAAAAAACAAAATGAATAATTAATATAACCTAAGTTTTTTTTTTTTATATTTTCTGAGAAAAATAAATTCTGTATTTAATTTTTTATTTGAATTAATTAAATTTAACAATGTATTAACTAACAGAATCAGTGAAACCAATAGCTTTTACAATAGCATTGCAACCATTTAATAATTGATAATGCGTTAAGCCAACTAATTTTGCTGATGTTGAAATGCCCTAAAAAAATTTTTTTTTTTAAAGATTTAATTAATTTTAAGTAATAAATGAATGTAAGTGAAAATTAGATTTGAACAAGAAATAATGGCAATTTATTAATTTTGTATAGAAAACAAACAAACAAACAAACAAACAAAAAAAGTGGTTTTTTAAATTTAGTTGATTAAACTTTTATCATCGAAAATATTATTACTATTATTGTTATTGTTATTATCAATTATTTTTTAAATCTAATAAAATTGATTTTTAAGAAATATTATTTCCGATTTCATTTCATTACATAAAATCTTCCGAGCATTCTCAATAATTGAGAAAATCTGCGAAAATTTTTGATCTAAAAAATATACTTTTAAATGAGAAAGAGCTGAGTGCAGCACAAATTGATTATTTACTTACTTTTTTTTCTATTAATTATTTATTATCAATGTTAACTAATCAATAATAAGTATTAATATTAATTATTTCAATTATTCATTGCTCATTCAAATAGTAAAATTAAATTAATCAAATTTAAAATGAGAAAAAATAAACTATTCAGGGATATAAATGATTTAATTATTATTATTAAATGTTGAAAAAATTAATGAATATGTGGTGCAAATTTTCTTCTTCTTTATAATTTGATTTTTTTATTAAAAAATATTTAATTTTTTCTTTGTTAAATTTAATTAAATTATTCTATAAATGTTAATAGAAAATAATAATCATAACCAATGCAATAATTTATTTAAAAATTCTTTAAATTTTCCTAATTAATTCAAAAAATTTCTAACTAATCAATTTTTTAAATAAAATTTTTCAATTAATTTATTAAATTAATTGAAAAAATATTTTTTTTTAGGAAAAATTTTTATGCATAATTTTCTTTTTAATTTATACACAAACATACTGAAATGCTAATGTATTTGTTGGATGAAATGCATAAGAATAGCAAATTTAATTCATCAATCAAAGTGAAATGTAAAATGAAAGCAAAATTTTATAAAAGAAAGAGAAAAGTAGAAGAGAGGGAGAGAGAGAGAGAGAGGGGGAGAGAGATGGAGAAAAGGAGAAAAAATGATAAATTTTTGTTGAAAAATATGATAAGAAAAGAAAAAAATGAAAAAATTTCATAGGTTAAAATTGAAAAATTCAATAAACTAAAAAAGTTTTTTCTTTTTTTTTTTTTAACGGATAGCATAGAGCGCTCTAAAGCATTCGTTTTTCTTTTGCTTTTGTTAAATTTAATATATATGTAAATAAAATTATTTTGACAGCAAAAGGAATAGAAGCAAAGAATTTAGGAAAAGAAAAGAAAAATTTTTTGGAAGAATAATTTCATTCATTTCGTTTCTTTAACTCTAAATCAAAGATTAAGCAACGAATTAATGAAATAACTGTGCAATAATTTTGACATTTTAGGGGATTTGCAAAATATTTATAATTTATCTTTTCTAATGTTTCAATTAAGTAACTTTTTTTCCCTTTTGCTTATTTTCTATATTTTATAATTTAATTTAAAAAACAATGCAAGCGAAAAGAATTATTTTTACATATAAATTTATTTGTTTAAAATCAAAAAAAAAGGATAACAAATTAAGCATTAAATTGAATGCTTAGTTGTTAATTAAAAATTTGCATTTTTAGAGAAATCATAGATTAACACTTTTTAAGCTTAAACTAGCTTAAATTAGCTTAATTTAAAAAGAAACAATGATTACCTCATTTGCTAGGCTCTTTTTTCTTTACTTTACTTTACTTTAGTATATAATGATTGACTAATCAAAAACATTATTTGGCTTAGTTTGAATAGCTAAATTAGCATTTCTATTTCTGTTAAAGCATATGAAAGCTTAAACCTAAAGAAAAGTACAATTTTTAAAAATAAAAGTAATTAACTTACAGATGTAAATTGCAAAGCTACAAGTTTATGCGTATCCCACGTTGTAAAATCTGGTAATTTATCAACTTTCTCTCTATTACTTCGTCCATAAATTTCAGATAACGTAAACGTACCACTATAATATTTATTTATTAATTTAATACATTTCTTTTTGTATCATTAATTTAAAAAAAAGGAAAATGTGTTCAATTACAAAATTTTAAATTTAAAAAAAAAAAACATTATTATTTAATTTTTATTCATTAAATTTAAATAAATATTAAAGTTTACGCATGTTTATGCTCTTCCTCAGCCATAATTACGTGAGTTAATTTTGGTAGCACTTTGCTACATAGACGGCCTTTAACTGAGTACATTAATTCTGGTGATAGTTCATTCAATAAATTATTTAAAAATTCAACTTCACGATTAGCTGGAAAACAAATTATAGCACGAAATTCACCCTAAAAACAACAAAATTAACAATGTATTAAATTGATAAGTTAATAAATAAACCATTTATAATATTTTAAATTTAAAAATTTAATTCACAAAAATATTTTTATTTTTCTGCTCTTAATTACAATAATTAGTTAATTATGTTTATCATTTATTACAATAACTTATTAACTTGTTTGATGCATAATTAAAATTAAAATAAGGCTAGAAAGATAATGAATTATGTTTTAAAATTAACATCAAAATTTAGAAAATTCGATTTTGAATTTTGTAATGAAAATAAAATGAACCTTAACAAGCGCATATTTCAGTTGTTCAGCATTTGCAAAATTTGGACTCATTAAAGAAAAGATTAAATTAGCTCTTGCACATGCTAATGCACAAATAAAGAAATGAGCTGTATTTGAGCCACAAATTAGGATACGATCTTGTGGCCTAAGGCCAATTGATAATAGGCCAGCTGCTAATGTATCCATCTGTAAAAAATGAAAAAAAGCAAAATTATTAAGTTTACAATTTTGAAGAAAAAAATTGTAAATTTAATTTACTTTTGTAAACTTTTTTTCAAAAGAAAAAAGAAAGATTTACTTCTTTTTTTACATCTGTAAATGTAAAAGTGATTTTTTCATGATCAAATACAGCTGCAATTCGATCACTTTCGCCACATTTGTAAACAAATTCTGGTAATGTCCCAAATAATAAATCGCATTTGCTACTCATATTTAACCTTTTCGAAATGATAAATCTGTTAGTATGACAGAATTTAACAGTATAGCTGAGATTTATCAATACTATAATCACATAAAGTATCAAATTCAAACTACCACAGTGAAAATAAAAAGGCACTAATAATTATAACAAATTATAATAATAATGATAATAATAATAATAATAATAATAATAATAATAATAACAATAATAATTAAACTGTTATTATTATTTATTACTATAAATAAATGATAACAGAAACAATAATATTATGCGTTTAAAACGAAATATATAATAGAAATAAATCGTAATTCTATCAAAGATACCACTGTATCATTCAGTCATTTATGCCAGTTATATTATGAGATAAAATTAGCAAAACATTTTTGATAGTTATTGAAATATTTAACAAATATAACTCAGATAAACTTTTGTCTTTTTTTTTTTTATCAGAAATAATTTTAAATAATAAAAATTTGGAGAGAGAGAGAGAGAGAGAAAAGAGAAAAAGGATTTAAAATTGTATTATTATAACTGAAAAAGAAGAGATGAAATATAAATGAAAGGAAGAAAATTATTGATGCCTTCCTATCAGTTGTGATATGTGTAAAACAATGAATTTTAGTATTTAGAATCAATCGGAAGAGTAGAAACAATCGATGAAGTGTAATTAGCTCATTTGCTAAGCTAAATGCTCCTCCAACTATCGCTCGAAAAACTCTTTAAACCCAATGTCTTTTCATTGTATGTGTAATTTAATGCTTTGCTTTTTTTTCTGCAATTATTTTCGTTCATTTCTTGATGAATTGATAGTCTTTTCAGATCATTGGTAGATGTGTCATTCATTGTTAATTAATTGTTTTGTAACAAATTTAAAACAAAACAAGAACGAATCCCATTCAATTCCACTTTCTTCCTATCATCTTGTTTATCAGAATATATCACATAATTCACACAAGCATATTTACTTCATCGTGAATTTTATTAATTTTTTATAATATAAGAATAATTAGATTCAATAGGATGAACAAATCAGTGGGTTTATCACTTTTTTAAGCTCCTAAAATTTTTTAGAAAAATCTTTATATCTCCCATACTTTGTAGTCAGTTACTGCTATTTGAACACAGAAACTCGTTTCACTTTCATCAGTTACGTACGCCACTGTACTTTTATGTATCACTGTTTCATATAACTGTATGGAGTTACAATGGAATTGCTTAACTCAGAAAGTTAAAAATTTTATCGACATTAAATCGATTCAAATTTATCACCAAGTTGAAAGGTAAAATCGCTGAAGAGATTTCATCTGTTCTGCAAGATCATACCGTACTTTTTCTCGCATATAAAAGATTGGACAATCTCTTCTGCAAAATCAAAACGTGTATTATTTTCAAAAGATAAAAAATCAGTTGAAATTATGAATTAACCAAGGAACCATTAACTTCCAAAAGCTTAGACAAATCTAATCACTTCTTTATAACTGAAAAGACAAATTACGGAAATATTTCCTTGGTAATGAGTCATTCAATCACCAGACACTAATATCGAAGTGAAAAGCAAGATTCATTAATGATTTGTAATCAATGACAAAATTTAGTAAGTTTATAAACGAAACCATGATTTTGTTTTATTCCAGAAATTTTGAAATCTTTTAAGGGAAAAATTTAAACAAAAAACTTACGCAGAGCAAAGCACTTCCTCGTTCATTGTCCCAGAACAATTCTGACATTCGGTCCATAATCGTGCAAAACGGTTTTCTATAGCATTCATTAGAGCTAACTGAAACAACAATCAATAAAATATGAGGAAAAGAGCTCAGAAACAAATCAGAATAACTTTGAAGTCAAAAATCAAAGAATTGATCTTTTTCTAGCAAATTCTTAAAAAAAGAAAGTTAATTTTAAAAAATATAACGAATTTCAAAAATTTCAATATTTAAACTATCATTGATTATGTATGCATTATGTATAAAGGACACATTTATCGCACAGCACCTGCTCCGGAAACTGATTTAAAGAAATGTTTAGTAAAAAAAGAAGGAACGAATCATTATGCATACATATTGCAATGATGAGAAACATGAAATAAATCATAGATTATAGACAAAAAAAAAATTATACAAAATTTTTAATGATACGAATAACTTACATGGGTAATGAAAACCTTTCCTTCATTTGGTTTGCAATGTGCGCATGTAGCATCACTAACACCGTTTGGTAAACTACTCTTGCATGAAAGGCATCGCTCAGTTTTCTGGAAAAACTGTGACAGTCCAGATTTCTTGGACTGCACCACTGTTCTAACCAGCGTATGTACACCAGCTTAAAATCAAGAACAAATGATGAAAAATTCTTTTATGTCGCTTGTCTAAACAATAAAACCATAAAATTCTCCAATTTCAAAGTATTACTTGTTAAAATTGATTCAGCTTTATCACCCAAGATAGGTTCAAAAATTCGCGCCAGTGGTTTGGCCAATTGATTTTCCAAATAATAGGCTGTATCAATAGGGATATTATTTTGTAATACATATATAGGATCCTCTGCTTTTTCATAAGCTGGGACCTAAATTATAACATTGGTTTGATTTATATTCCTCGATACGTTGATTGGAAGTAGCCATACAGAAGCCATTTAAAAAATGAAATATTTAAAACCTACTTTCTGGCCTTTGGCAACAATAACATAAGGTACGCGGTCACCCAAGCGCGGTGCTGATCCGGAATCGCGCTCTCGCATCCTCTCTGCTAAAACTACGTGCGCTTGTTTCGCAGCATAAGCCTGAAATAATAAAAAAAATTGTAAAGAAGATTTTACAGTGAAACAGATGGTACCGAATAAAAGCAAACAGTCTGCAAAGCAAAAGTAATTTCTATTAAAAAAAACTCACATTACTTGATCGAGTTAATTCTTTGGTGATTATGAGTTCTGAGATATCAATACGATTGCAAAGAAGATCTGATATTACCTGTTTGAAAAATTCCAGATATAAATTTGAAATATCAAGAAAAGCCATTTGTCAAGCTGCATGGCGCAAAAAAAATTAAAAAAAAAAAAAAAAAGAAAACCTTTTTAGCATGTTCCAGAGCACTTGTAGCATCACCTTCCAACAACATTTTTTCTAAACATGTACTCAAAACTTTTGACACCAGTGGGCAATTATCACGCCGAACTGTTTCTAATCCTTTGCAATCAATTTTGTCATGCTTTTCAGGTCTTGTAAAATATAAACCAGCATAGCGTTTCTTATTTATCAACAGAAAGGGTGAGTAAACCTGTAATATACAAATTTTATAAAAATAACAAAAATTACTAAAATTCTTTCTCTTACCATTTTATTTGTTAAAGTTTATACTTTTAATCCTTTACTAAACTATATGAACTTCGCCACCGCTAACACAACACATTAGTCGTTCTGGGTAGAAAAAAGAAATCAGAAAAAACAAAAAAAAAAAATATTTTCAAATACCTTGAAAGTTATACTGCAAAAAATTTGAAATCGCAAGTTTGAAATTTAGAAAATTTGAAACTTCATCAGTTCCACCAATCAATCATTGGCGGAGATTACAAACAGAAGTCTGATACCTTTTCAAACTCTAACTTAATTGGAGGTATGAACTTCTTGCTAACTTCTGTAGCAGCATGCAAACCAAGTTCCATCGCTGCTTTGACGTCTTTAACACCAAATTTCACCATCACTGAGTCGGTATCACCATAAATAACCTAAAATCTGTAAGGAAAAACCGAAGAAGTTTTGTACTGTTTCATTTCCCAATCCAAATATTAAATATGATTTCCTTCAATGTAGGATATGCAATTCTCAACGAATCAACATTTAGCTGGTAAGAGAAATAATGATTTAACTCATACCTGGAAACGCTACTGATCTATCAGCAACATAATTCTTGCATAAAATATTTACCTGAGCATCACATGGACATTTGCCATCCAGGTAACCCTCTTTGTATATCTGCTCAACTGCACTTTTCGTTAAATCAATCATTTGACGACCATACGCTGTTACCGATTGCGAGATCTCTAAACACGGTAACTTCCCAACCGAAGCACCCGTAAAACCATAAACTGAGTTAGCGGATATTTTCAGAGCAAGTTGTCTACCGTTTAATACCATACGTCTTAAAAAAGTTGCAAAAAACAAATTTACCCTCATAATATTTCTAGATTTCATCTTTCATTTCAAATACCATCTGGCTAAGTAGCAGGAAAGACAAGATTTTCAGTAAGATAACCTTAGCATTTGTAGATAAAAATTAACATTTTAAGCCTGTATTTTCAAGCGTAATTGCTCTAAATTTCAGCTAGTTTCCATTATTATGTATCTACTTCTCAAAGCCAAGTAGTTATTCCTTGATGACACCAATTTTAATAAAATTTTATAGAGAATCTTGTCCCCTACACTAGCTAATCATGTGAAGTGTAAGCAATCAATTAACCCACTCATTTAATAAGTGATATCAGTTTTCAAGATGAAAAAGCTTTTACCGAAATGGATCCTGCTCATTCTTCAGATCATTCTTTGCTTGTTTTCTGGCATTCAACAAATCTTCCAGAACTTGAGGTAGCAAACCACGACGAATGTTTGACTTCACGAAGCGATTATTTGATGGAGTCACTTCGACATCAGAGTCAGATAGACTAAAAATTCCAAAAGACTATTCTTCGCACTTCGTTATAAACAAATTTCCAGAGTACCATACATTTTCGTGATTTATCTTCCAATACCTTCAAACAACTTACTTATGGGATGCATTAGAACCCCGAATTAGTGTAGTATAGCACAAATTATGGGCAATCATAATGGACGGATAAAGAGATGCAAAATCAAGAGTTGCAATTGGAGTGTTGTAGAAACCCCGAATAGGATCGATTACTGTTGCACCTTCGTAGGTATCGTCAGCTTGTACGATATCAATAACTGGTAAAAAGAAATGCAGCGATTTTGCCTAAAATTTACAGTAAATCCCATTTCTCTGAATTTTTGATATAACCAAACTTTTATCTAAATATAAACAGTAATTAAAAAAAAAAGTTGCATATTTTTTGAAAATCCATACTTTTCGCAAGATCTGTGACATGACTTTGACCTGTTGACCCCTAGAAAGTAGATAATCGAGAGGAACACCAGTAACGCGTGCCATTTCAATGTAATTAATGATGGACATCAATTTTTGAAGCAACTTTAGCGGCAAATATGCGTCTTTCATACAATAAATAGCTAGTCGACGGCGTGTAAAAGCATTTCCATTCTAAAATTCCTTTGAATAACTTTGGTGTCAATAATCACATATTACTAAATACAGCTACTGTAGATAAACATCAGTTACTTCTCAACATTCCAAAATCATGTAAATTTACCCACCTGCAAGTCTGCAATCATTGAGTAATCGACATCTTCCTTCTGCTCACATAAAAAGTGGTAGCTGACACTGTTCAGTGAATAACTTCGTAACTTGTAATCTCGCAAAACAACCTGAATTCTTCTTTAATCAGGTTATGTTTATAATATATAGCACCGGTATATAACATAAATATATATTATATATATATATATATATATATATAACACAAATTGAACCTTTGACCTTCTGTTTACAATACATGTCGCTAATATAGACATACTTCCCGCTAAGCAATGCACTTTAGTGTCAGAAAGGAAACCAGTAAACTTTAAGCTTGAATTAGTATTTATAAAATAAACATTTTTGCCTCAGGTGAGTTAGAAATGGTACTTGCAATCAGCTTATAAACTCTTTTAATTTTCTCTCTTTTCCGACTTTGTAAAGTTAATTCAAAACTACAATCGTAAAAAAAAAAAAAAAAAGAAAAAAAAAGCATAAATCAAACATTCTTTGTGCTTACAAAATAAATAACTGCTGCTTATAGGGAAAGAAATAAATTATTGAGTGTCTATGTGGTACTGGCACATATGATATACCTGGTTGTAATATTGTTCATGAAATCATCGTATTAACACAATTAACTTACTTGAATGACATCAAAAACAACCCGTCCTTCAACATTTGTTATTTTATTCGTTCTATTACCCATTTGTTTACTTGATAAAGGCATTTCTCGCACTTTTGAAAGTGAATTTGGAATACGACCTAGCATTGTTGCTCGACTTTCAATCTAAAACAATAAAATTTACAATTATTTGTTGAGTGAAAATTCCTCTTAAACCAAAGACAAAACAACAAGCCTTTAGTGCTCGAGCGCGTTCTACAATATATGGAAAATCAAAATTCTGAATATTATAACCGGTAATGAGATCTGGATCAACAGTACGCACAAATTCTGCCCATTTCTGAAAATAATTAGCAAATTGATATATTCAACAAACTAAGAAGATGTGAGTGAATTAAAATCTATTGTTAAATTAGGATCAAAACTTTCAAAATTTTTCTCACATTAAGCAATTCCTCTTCTGATTTAGAAACAATAATTTCACTGCCAATGACTGGAGCAGTTTCACCAATCACAAAACAGTTCCGAATGAATGGCTCATTCTCGCCTTCAATTTTGACCATATTAGCTATTTGTATAACAGCATCCGTGTGAGCTTCCGGAAATATTCCTGAAAACAATAATAACCATACAATCAAACATATTTTACCTAAAAATTCGAAAACTTGAGATAAAGCAAACACATAGGATTTAAAAAATTGGAAAATTAGGAACCGTAAATCTACATCAATACAATGAAATGCATTAACTAATTCGTGAAGAATTTAATTGAGTAATGAAACATACTTTCTTATATCATATGAAAGAGTGAAGATGATGATTTAAATGACAAATGCAATTTCATTCATACTACATTGAATTCAGTCCCTATGAAATTAAAGAAGCAAACATGGAATTTTTTGAAATGAAGATAACAAATTTTTTAACCTTGTCGATTCGTACATTCAATATCAAATGATAAAATACGCAATGGTGCTATTGACGACCATCTTGGAGATGATTCAGGAGAATGAATGACGAGATCTGTATTGTTTATAGAGCACTGCAAAATATTTTTTTTAAATACTGCGACTCAGTCATTTGGAAACCTTATTATTTGAATAACTACCGAAATTATGGGAGCAAAGCAATCTCAAGAATGCAAGGTTAAATCAGTAATATATTACATTTTGGTCACTAAGTGTGTTTATGGAGATAACTTGTCTTCTGCAAGCGTGAAACATTCTACGTACAATGGTAAATAAATGATTTTAATTATGCAAAATATTTTGCACAACTTCATTGTACAATTGTGCACAATAATACACTCAAGTCCAAGAGATGCACTGAATAGACAACAGTTTCAACAGAATTTCGAAAGCACATTACCAGTGACTAATTTTGACGCTTTTTTAGGACAAAAAAACTGAGTGAGAATAAACCTCAAACTGACAACGACTGATCATATCTTTTCCTTCAACAATTAGATATTTTTCCGATGGCAACGTAACCCAGGCGCAGCCAACCAAATTATGATCTGTCATAAATCTAATTTCGAAATCAATATTTGTTTCAAAACATGATAATGACTCCATTTGCCCTCCTTTTATCAAGTTCACTCCATTAGTAAACACTCGTCGACCTAAAAAAAGACAGATTTCGTGCCACCGTGTCACATTTAAAAATAATTCCAGAAGATGCAAAAAAAAAAAAAAAACATCAAAAACGTCATAGTTTAAAAGTTGCTGACTGAAATCTGACTGTCGTAAAATTTGTTAGTAAAATTCCATGGCTTACAGAGATTAAGCAGCTTCGGCGAACAAACATATACTTTCAGAAACTTCTGATTTAGATCCTTTTTGTACTCATAAACATTGGCACCATGTACAATATCGAGATCAACGACTAAATTCTCAACGTTCTTCGGAATACCAATGTTTGCCGGAACTTGCGCCTGAAGTTCAAAAACGTCTAATTTTGAAGCTATAAGCACAGAAAAATAAAGCTAACATAATAGCATAGCTTTTAAATAAACATTGAAAAGCTAGTTAAACCTTAACAATATCGTTCAGGTATTTCTTCGCATACTCTATGTGCTCTTCATCAAACCGACTTTCCAATAAGACATAGAAATAAGGAAGGAATCCATGAACTTGCACGCAAATTGAATTTTGATTAGCAGTAGCTCCGAATAAACGAATGACAATATTATTTTCAATATCTGAAATGAAAATGAACCACTTGGATGTACTATGATGTCAACATGTATAGTTATTGCAGCTATCAAAATGGTGGTAGTTCTACAAGCACTTCAGGTTATAACTTTAAGGCAGAGCTGAAATTCTAACGCTAAAAATTTTATTTGAATTATAGACAATTCGGATCACTAAACAATGGAAGTTCAAATTTCGGTGTAACATTTTTACAGTTAGAAAACTTAATATTCATTACTTTCAATGAAAAAATTTTAAGCTGTAATTTCAACTTTGCCTTTAGAAAATTTCGCTTACTCATATAATAATCAACATCGACAACTTGAAAATCGATTTCCGGTCTCATATATAATTCATCAGGAATCGGTGGACGAGCCCAAATATAATCTGAATATAAGCATCCAAATGAATATTCTCATTTCATATAAGAATAAAAATCAGTCATATAGAAGTCCGAATTTGTAAGATAAGATAATCAAAATAAAGGAATATTGAAGCTGGCACTGCTGTGAAATATTTTACATATTTCCCAGAATGCTCTATTTCTACATTTTACCACCAATCATTCCTCGTCATTTTCAAAACGTAGAGTACTTTAATTAAAAATAAAAAAAGAAAAACTGACTCGTTTCAAATTGGTTAACCGTAGTTCTTACCGAACCATCATCCGACGGTGCTAGTGATGCCAGCTGTGTTACGAAAACTGATGGTTCATTCTCAGTAGGTCTGCAATTCAATTAAGTTGAAATATAAAAAAGTAACGTTGTGAAAAGTACCAGAACTACTGATAACTATTATAGATAACAAGAGAATGACATCGATAAGTTTATAAAACTCTTCCCCTGGCAATAATGTAACCAGTTTATCAGATAAAATCATAATATCGTCTTTCTAAAATCAACTCAATTCTTCTCACTTTTATCTTTGGAAAGGACGGCCAATGTAAATTGCGTGCTTCCGAGAACATTTTTAATAATTTTTCTTTTTTAGCTTACCAGAAATTTCAATGATAAACACACTTTTTATCTTTAATTCCATGAAATTCAAACATATCTAACCTGCTTCGTTTTGCTTTTGCAAATGATGGTGTTGGTCGTGCTGTACGTTTACCTACTGGCGATGTCATTCTCTAACAAACGTATCGTAAACAGATAGCAATACGTATCTAATACAAGTAGAACAACAATCAATTTTCCTGAAATTATCTCTTTCATATGACAACATCAAAAATAATTGTTGGAAATTTAATAAATTTTATAGGTTTTAATATAATATAATAAAAAAGTCAAAATATGAAATGATTTTTGGATTTTACTGCTTTAAGCTGGACAACAGTTAGGAAGCATATCTAATAGTAGTACTTTGATCTACGGCACTTTCTCAGCACGTCACAACTTCTTTGATGTATTTCACTTTCATGTATTGTTATCCCGTCTTCATGAGTTGTGATGCATTCTCCAATAGCAATATCTCTGCAAATTTTGATGTTTTCTTGAGTAGTAACAAGTAATACAAATTTTGCATACATTAACTAAATTTGCGCTTCTCATTAAATTCGCATCCAAAATTATAATACTTTGCAAAAATCTTCGCTGCTAAGAACACTAAAATTGAATGAAAAATGAAGAGAGTAGGTGCAAATGAAAAGTGAAAAGAAGTTAAATTTTCTTAAGTAAATTTACAATTCAAAATTCGCGCGACGGGTTGAAATATTTCTATGCGACTATTTGTATAATTCGTACAGGTAAAATCATAATTCGTACATTTAATGTTGAATAAGATTGGCTAATCTCAAAGTAAAGTTAGTTTCACTTATCGTTTCTGGCTTTTATTTTTTGAAAGTATGGAAGACATTATTGACTTTAAGTAAAGTAAACGTAATAAGTTAAAGTAACGATCGAGAAAATTAGTTATTTCATGAATTAGAAGTGATCTGAAAATGATAAATTTTCTTATAGATAAAATGTTAACACTGTTAAGATTTATGATTCATTTGGATGCTACGAACATTTTAGATGGAAATAGTAATTCAGTGAATCCATTATTCAGGATGAAAATTCTAATTATATAAGTGATAATATAAGTTATAACTTTCTGTGATTTGTATAACGATGGCTAATATTTAAAATGTTACCTATGTGATTTCTAATTTTAATAGAACCAATTTTCTTTCTCATTTAAAAAATTCAATTTTAAAAGGAACATTAATACCAATCTCAGTGTTTATTTCCTTTTTTCTTTATATCTCTTTTTTTTTTAAATTCTTTCGGATCTTCGGTATATATGGAAGTTTGAATTGAATTAGCTATCCTCGTCATTTAGGGATAGTATATGCAGATGAATAGGGATGAGATGTATTTAGATGTTATCTGAGTTTAGAAAAGAAATCGAAAACTTTACTGAGAATATTTAAATATAAATCATACAATACAGCAGGAAGGACTAGGCCGCCAACGAAAAGAAAAAAAAAAAAAACAACATATCTTTCATTGAATAAAATGCATCGATCCAGAAAAAAGAATATAGCATCATAAAGAATATAGCATTATAGTTTTTTCATTAAAAAAAACAAATATTAGAAAAAGTTAAAGACAAAGAAAGAAGAAAAAAAAAGGAAAAGAATTTACGATTAATGTAAAAGAAAGCACAATTTACAAGAGAGAATCACAGTAACATTAGAAAATAAAAATCATTTATTTCTTAAGCTTATCTATTGGGCATCATAAATTGACCAGTGAAACTTAATAAATTTGATAGGAAGAGAAAAAAGGAAAAACATTGGATAAGTTTTATATAAATAACATGTTTAAATTAAACCACAGTAATAAAATGCTTTGGACAGATTTTTAAATATAATAATAGTGACAATAATTTTTTTTTGAATCAAAACATCCAAATAGACAAAAATTATGTGACAGAATGAAAAAGTGAAAAAAGAATGGTATATTCTTAATGTATACTAAGGTCGTGTAATTTGGACTAGCCTTTTTATCAAATCTTTTTAAATAGCTATTTTTGATATTATATTTGATATTGATTCTTAATCATTAACAGATTTATTTATTTATTTACTATTTATTATGTTTCTGATTTCAATTTGACATGATAATTCGATGCTCATGCAGTGACGTTGTATTCAATGATACATTTAATTTAACCCCGATGACAGCAATGTTACATAAAATTAACCGAAATAGATAAAAGAAACGAATTCGCAGAGAGGTAGACACGGTAGCTGAAAACAGCCGGTGCATTCTCAGTCAGCACTGCACAAAAGTATTTTTTTTTTTAAAAAAAAAGTTCTGATAATTTTTGAGGATAAACAATTGTTTGATAGCAATGAATCTTGATTAATCATACTTTAACAGCAAATTTCATACACTTTATCTTTCTTATTCTCATACCACAAATAATATTTCCAGGAATGACAAAATTAGGGATAGTTGTAAATAAATTAAAGAAATAAAATTAATGATAATAAAAGAAAAGAAAAAACATAAATAAGTAAATGAAATAAAAAAGGAAAAGTTTGAAAAATTTAGAATGCCTAGACATTTGGTAGTGCGTGCAGACAGAGAATGATCCAGAAAGATTACACAAAACATTTCAACAGATTTTGATGAAGGAATATCAAACAATTCGTGACGGATAAAAAAATGTTTCACCAACAAATACATTGTCCCAATTTGTATTCCATTATGACATTTCAATAAAATCGATACCTAACTGATTTCTGTTCCATCACCACCATTTGTAACATCTTTTTGAGCTGAAAATTACATCAACATTTTAGCTATTTAGCTATTCTTTCAAATATTATTGTATTCTTATCAAAAAGTAGCTTTTTAAATTATTTCCAAGCAGTAAGTAACAAAAGAATGTTGCAAGAACAAATTAAAACTAAAATTAGAAATCAAGATAAATGGTTTGAATGGTTCGAAGGTAAACACTGAGTTTTGCTTTAATTTCTTTAGAAGCGATAGAAATTTTCTTCAGAAAAGAAACTTTCATCTATTTAACAGTACCGTCATAGTCAGAGAAAAAGTAATTTACAATGAATTACACATGTCTCATTAATAACTAAAAGAGATTATGATCGTCTGATTAAGGAAATAAATGCTAGATCATGAGCAAATCACTAAAAGCTTTCCAGTCAATCAATCGATCAATACGATGGGTTCGTCCTAAGAGGATTAAGTGATTTTGATAGTATTCAACAATTACATAATTCTTTCCAAAAGTATTTAATTTATTAAATATCGATTTACATATCAATTTAGATAACAAAAAAGAAATGAATTTAAAAAAGAAATCAAACCTTGACCAAGTTCCCTGAGCAATGTGCTCATATTGTTTGTTATATCATCAGCTGCATGAAGCAGGTCACCTTGCAGTTGAGCAGCAGGTACTGAACTAGCTCTCTGAACAGCACGATCTCGAAATGCAGTCGAAACACGGCTTCCGATACCGGTCAATGATTCCGGTATAGCACCCATACTTCCACCTTTTGATTGCTGCAAAAAAATTTATAAAGAATTAGTTGCTCGTCGAAAACAAATTAAGTTTTCGTTATAAACAGGTTTTTTTTTTTTTTTTTTTAAAGATAAAGTGATAGGCTTATCAGCAGATTTCATTCATACGACTACAGTTACTGATATATCTCGTACTACTAAAAGTAAAACAAGAGACCACTTTGCGATCTCCATCTTTGAAGATCCTCACTCACAATAATGTTAACTTAGTGAAAATAAATATTGCAAGCATGACTCATAACCTTTTCGATAGACACTCCTATATGTGAACGAACTTGGATCCAAAAAAAAGAGAGAAAAAAAATGTTGAAATTGCTACATTTCTACTTGTTGTTTTTCAAAACTTTTCGTAGATCGGCAAATCGCAGATGTTTTCCACATCTTTGAATTTATCGAACACTATTAAACTTACGAAATTTCTAAAAACTAGTTCACACAAAATTTTTAATGATTTCAGCAAAATAAAAAATTAACGATTTAAAATAGAAACTTCAAATTCTGACGAAATTTAAAATAACTTATATGAATTTAAGCACAGATTATAACTATACGAAAGCAAATATCTTACGTTTAGTTCTGACATAAGCACTTCTAACTGTTGCATTAGCTGTCTTCGTGTTTGTTGCATAATACGCATTTTTTCCTCAAGCTGAGCTTTCCGTTCACGTAAACCATTCAACTGTTCATCCGTATTTTCTAATTCCTGGAAAAAGAAAGAAGTAAAATCAATATGTTAAGGACTATGCGTGAATTTTAAAATAAATGATGAAATTTGGAGAAAGAGAGAGAGAGAAAAGGATTGCACTTAAATGATTAAATGATGGAAAAATCTACTTTTTCTACATATTTCCAATCAAAAATTAAAAAAAAAAAAAATTATGAATCATAAATTTATATGATACCAACACAACCTATCTCTGCTATTCTTTTATTATTGAATTTTTGTTTTCATATATGAAAATAAAACAAAACAAAAAAAAAAAAAAAACAAAACAAAAAAAAGAAAGAAAAACAGCATTACTTGTTGTTGCTTCAACATTTCCATTTCTCGTATCATCTCACCATTCTCTTCTTCAAGTCGTGCAATTAATGTTTTTTCATTAAGATTTTCATCCATACTGGTTGCTCGATCTTTGGGCAGCACAAATGGATACTTAAATGTACTTTTTTTTTTTTTTTTTTTAGAAAAAAACAATACATTAACTAAAGTAACTAAGTACTTCATATTAAAAAAGTTCAAAAATGCAACGTAGAGGAATACAATTGAGGTAACTCATTTTAAGTAATTTCTATATCATGATATCTTTAAGAATATGATACATTAAGTATAATTAACTAGTAAATCAAATTATGATATTATAATTACCTGTGTTCGACCAGAAAGTTTAGCCGAATAACGTGCGATCAATTTATGCTCATCATCCATATTAGAGCCGTTAGTTACAGGAAATTGTCCGGGCAAAATTTGACTTGTCCAATCTTTTAAACCTTCTGAAAGTCGTCTTCTTGAGGTTGTTGGTGTTATTGGTAAAATGTTAGCAAGATCGAGAGGACGTTCTGGACGTTCTGGGAATATTGGATGTGTGGAACGATT